ACTGATTAGATTTTGCTTGAAAATGCTTCAAGACAAACAAATGGTATATCTTGGCTTTTGATGACCTCTGAGGACTACTAATTACCTTTGAGCTCAACCTCATATAACCTGTGTTAGAATGGGCTGTCCTGAGAGTTTAAATACCAAATATTAGGTTAATCATTTATATCGTTTTAATGTTAAAGAAGAACGAACACACAAACAGAAGCTTCCAGTTTACTTACATATCTTATACGAATCCATGTATATCTATCTATCTATGTATACATTTTAATCAGTATCACCCCAAGCATATCGATAAAGTTATTGTCACGCAAGGGGTTACAGGGTGTGTAGGAATTAGGGAGAGAACCATTAGTCATCAGGAGGACAATAGATAGCGATTGACATTACATTTAAATTTTTCCGATTAAAATTGGTTGGAAAGCATCGATCCAGAAGGATATCCACAAACGAGAAGTGCGAGATAAGAAACTGTTGGCATAGAAGTTACGGTTACGTCTAGCTATCTCAATGTAAATTTATGACACACACACAGATATATATATATATATATATATATATATATATATGGATGGAGAGTGAGATAGATAGAGAGAGAGAGAGAGAGAGAGAGGTTTACAACTGAATATAAGATACTGTACTAAAACTGGAATTATATATATATATATATATATATATATATATATATATATATATATATATATACTAGCAGCATGGCCCAGCGTTTCCCGTGCTTGATTCAAAAATCGTACGGCTCATACAGCAATCGCTATCACTTGACATTTTTGCCCTTCCTTGCCTTTAAAGGAGTGCCCTTTGCCGTGCTGATGTTGCTATATGCCATACTTCTTGCATATCTCACACTGCGATTTTTTTCTAAGCTCTATACTAAACATTAAATCTGTTACGAAAAAAGAACTAAACAAAATGAACACAAAACGATCAGCTTTAAAAAAAAGACTCGTAACTGGAAAAACCGAATGAAAAAAGAATGTTAACAATAAATACTTTTTCACACAAAACCCAGTTCTGCGGAATCAGAATCAACGTTGAGTTTAAGCAAGCGAATGAGCCAATTGGAGTAAAGTGCCATGCAGATTTAAATTTTTCCCACTTGTGACGAATGCAGACTTCGATTTTTTTTGCATGCTAGCATGCTAGTTAACATTCGTGTCAGTCAGCTGTTGGTTCTCACGCTGGCCAATAGAATCTTCCTGCCTATTCGTGGCAGCCAGCTATAGGCTCTCATTCTGGCCAGTAGAAAATGGCCGCAAACTATATGAAAACTGCTGTAGAAGCATGAAAAAATCGATTATTTCCACTATCGATGGGAGTTGTGAAATGCAAAGTCGGTCTTGGCCTTCCCGCTTAACTTAGAGCATGTGCATGTAAATTTTGGTGCAAATCCGTCGAAGATTGCGGCCGTGCATTCGTCACACACACATCCTGCCTTATATATATATATATATATATATATATATATATATATATATATATATATATATGTTAGAATATTACACCAAAAACATGTCAAAATTGCAATCATATTTCGATGCGTATCAATGCACCTCATCAGGTTTAAACGATTTATTTAGATCTAAAAGCAAATTATATATCCTCTTTTTATGAAAAAAAAATGGAATTGTACTCTATTCGTTCTTACCCTACCTGGGTAATATATATATATATATATATATATATATATATATATATATATATATATATATGCAAGAGGATAATGATCAAAAAAAACGAAAAAAAGATTTGTAGTTAAAACTTGAAGAGAGAATATTTTAGAATTCCTTTATATATATATATATATATATATATATATATGTGTGTGTGTGTGTGTGTGTGTGTGTGAATATATATATTCAGAAATATATATATATATATATATATATATATATATGTTCAGAAATCATTCCATATTACAAACACACACATGCATACATACATACATGTATATGGGTGTTTGTAATATGGAATGACTTCTGAACATTTTTGTGGATTTTTCTTTGGCATAAGTCATTTGATGTCAAGTGGAAATATGTAAAGAAACTGGTGTCCGCCTAAATGTACCATTTATATTATATGATTCTGCATCACACAAAGGCTCTAGTATCATGCAATTTTGACGTAAGCACGTCAAACAGCATATTCCTTGACAAGTTTCCTCACAGTAACAAACAATATAATCGCCACCACATACACTGACTGACACACGTAAACACACACACATGCAAATCAATACACATACACGCACACACAAACACAACATGGTTATATATATATATTTACGTCTTTACGTATGATTAACCTACTAACTCCCTTAAACAAATAGAACTTGTCATATCTGGCTACAAACAAGATACATTTGTCGCTGTCATATTCTCCACAATCGTCAATGATGCCATGTATATATGTCAGTTTATCGAAAAAATAACCCAACCAACTCCACACTCTGGCCTAATTTTAGTATTTAGGGCAGATCTGACATTGGTTAATTCAGACATCCCCATGAGTCTATTTTTAATTTCTGACCATCTTCCCTTCTCCCGCTTTAACTTTAGGAAAAGAGGTAACGATTTGCTTTTAAATTTCTTTCAGAAATCATTTTTATAACAAGTTACCTGCCATCGCTTGAGGAAGTACAATCATAATATTGAAACACGAAAGGTTTTGTGTAGCGATTTAAAATGTTTTTATTATAAGAGATTATAATAAAAAAATATTTTCCTCTGCTTTGTATTGAGCAATTTTTTAAAAAGTAAATGCGTTAAAATGCTGATTTTAATCCATTTATTCTTTCTCTCATTTGGATATATATATATATATATATATATATATATATATATATATATATATATAGTGCTGGTGTTAATAAACAAAGTGCTTGATATATATATATATATATATATATATATAAAGAAAGAAATTAATAAAAAGTGTACAAAAATAATGTGATGCGTTTCGTGTACAGGTGTACATTGATGTTCATGTCACTACGCATGCGCAGGAATGAAAGTAATGAATGAAATTTAAAAAAAAAATATGTGCTTGGGCATATAGTCTAGCTATATATATATATATATATATATATATATATATATATATATATATATATATATATATAAATAGTGATACTCGCTTGAAAAAACCTCGGACTTGCAGTAGAACAAGTCGGTATCCGAGAAAAATTGGGAATAAAAAAAGAAAGAACCAAGAACATTAAACCAAGGCGAAAACAATTGTCCAGTGTTCAAGCTCCATGTACAAAGAAAAAAAAAAACACAAAATGAGTAAAAACACAACCTCGTAAAGTGGTGCTCAATACACTAAGTAAAAGCAAAACCTAAGATAATCCTAAGGAGCCGTAAAACCTAGATAGGTTTGCCTAGCTCCTTAGGATTATCTTACACACACACACACACACACACACACACACACACACACACACACACACACACACACACACACACACACACACACACACACATCGCACATATAGTGCTGGTGTTAATAAAACAGTGCTTGCTCGTTTCGTGTAGTTGAAATGTTATAAAATAACATAAATAAATTTCATCATCTTCATATATATATATATATATATATATATATATATATATATATATATATATATCTCTGTGTGTGTGTATCTATGTGTTTGTGCGTGTGTGTATGCATTGACGTTTCTATATCTTCCGTTCGAAGTAATTTGTTTTCCAATGTTTTTCTTCTGGTAATCAAAGCTCTATTTCATCGACATTTTGAAATCGTTATTTCCCTCATCTACGGCTAATAAGCTGTAAGATAACGATATACACAGATTTTCTTACATATGTTGTTTTATTTATTATTATCAGTTGATAGTATGGTAAGCTAAAACCAATTACCCCCTAGCGCCTTACATGCTTTGGACATGAGTTCTGAAGTGAAATGAAAAAATAGCTAAAATAAAATAAAATATATATATTAGCTCTTTTTCTCGCGACTAATATAAATAAACTGGTTCGCCAACAATTAAGCATTAGGACAGAAAAAGAAAATTTAATAATTTATTGTCATACAAAATGCTTTTTGAGTTTCCGAAATAGATTTCCTTTTGTCGTTCTCTTTGGTATGTAAAAGTTAGCAGATTCTCCACGCTGTTAACTAGCAATTTTCCAAGCGCAACTTAGATGTGGCACAAGTATGGGGCACCCAGTGAGGATCAAACTTACTACTCAGTCGTAATTTTTTTAGCGAGACAAGCTTGCTAACCATTACACCGCTTTGAGGTGCTCCACGCAGTTAACTATTATATAATTGCTAAAAGAGTTTGTATTTACTTGACCCCGCACTGAGTCGGGTTGTGACATTAGGTCGGTTTTTAACGTGAGGACCCGAGTGTCTTCATTCGGGCCACTAGTCTTAGCTGCTCATAGCTTGTCCAAGCTAGCCAGTGCTGGTCTAAGCTAGTCATAGATCGTCTTGGTTGGTCATAGCTGGTCCAAGCTGGTCAGAGCCAGTTCAATCTAGTCATAGCCATGATACTACCAGCGCAGGGACGGATCCCTGTGTCCGGTAAGTATCACGGTGTTACAAGCTACTCGAGAGAGCAGTTCACTAATTGCTAAAAGACTTAAGTGGAATATTTAGAAACACCTTCGTGCCAATTTTTAAACCTAAATATTGCCTTTTTAATATGGTCTTGCTCTAATTTGATCTCTGTCTACCTAATTGATTCTCGTGAAAACCAAACCTATCTCTATCGTTTTTACTATCGGTTCGCGTACGAAGATTGGTTTATGTAACATAGAAATGTGTTTGCTTTCTGTGTGAAATTGGCCTCCACAGTCGCCAGATCCCATTCCTACAGAGCACCATTCGGATTTGGTGAAAAGAGAGATTCGAATTTTGGATTTGCAACCAACAAATCTATAAGAATTGCAGGATGTCATAATAACAGAATGTACTCAAATTTCGAAAGAATGCTTCCAGAACATCGCTGTGGCTTACGGTCTTATCACATTGAAAACTAGGTTCGCGTACGATCACCGAAGTTAAGCAACGTTGAGCTTGATCAGTACCTAGATGGGTGACCGGTTGGGAATAGCAGTTGCAGTCAGCTTGTATATGCGGGTTGTGCAATGGATAACGCCTCGGATTTGAAATCGGAGAGCCGAGATCCAATTTCAGTCGGTGTCTTTATATTCACTTACACGCAAATACTTTTGGGAAAGGTATGAATCCACTACTACTCTCCCTGGCTATGGGTTAATTAGTAGAACGTTTATCAATAAATCATTACTATAGGTACCTCCAATAATTCGCTAAAACCAGTATTGTATGATGATAAAAGGCCCCGAAAATGTTTGTGTTATTATTAAGAGGAAAGAACAAAATATTTTTTAATTATTTTAAAAAAATATTTTTTCTCCTTTCTGACACGTTTTAAATTTGGGTAAGAAATCTCGTTTTTCTTTTGTTAACTTTGTAAGACTTGTGGTAATGGACATTTTGGTGTAGCAGTTTCTGGTGAAAAACATTAATTTGGAAATTCTTGCAAAAATCAAATAATTGTCTGATTTTAATGAAACTTTCAGGACTTATTCAAAAGTGAATGAATTTACTTTTGCAATTTTTATTTTTAGAAAATCTTGGTAAAAATATTTTTTACATCTGTTACACCCACCGTAACTTAATTTCATAAAATTTTCTAGAATTTCAAATGGTACGTAAATTGTTTTATATTGCTAATAAGCAGGACTCCTTGGAGAAAATAAATTATCAATTTTTTTCACAACTACTCCGGACTTTATAAAAATCTCCTCCAAATCGTAAAATAAAAACTGCAATAAAATTATCTAATTATCTAATTAGATAGACTTTTATTTGCTTTTATAAATAATAACCATTAAGGATATTACTGTCTGAAGAAAAAAAATTGATGAATAATGAATTTTTAGAAGAATTGTTTTCATTTTTCTTTAAGTTTAAAAAATGTTTTAAAATTCCTCCAAACAGAGTACAAGGTACGGTTTTTAAGCTATTAATTGAAGACTATGTTTACTAGGCGAAAATTAAAAGCTTAATACAAATCATACTCCCAAAACTTTTTACCATAATTAAACATATTTTTTGTTCATCAAAATATATTTTTTTTTAGTATGGTGTATCTTAAGTGATATTATGGTTAAAAGGTCACGTGTTTCAAGGCTTGTCTTCCGTAGGGAAAGCTCCCTGACCTATAAAGGTCTTCAGCAGCGGGCAGTTCTTTATTTCATTTATTAAACTGTTAACAGATAATAATTTTATTCATCATATCTCTTATTAAATTAAAATTTGAATTATTGAGATAATATTAATAGAATTAATATATCTCAGTTATCAATGTAAAAATGTAATAACTGAGAGGGAGATAATTTAATTATTAATATAATAATTAATAATTTTATTAGTTATTATATCTCAGTTATTAAATTAAAAATGTAATTACTGATAATATAGTAAAATTATTTATCATGTTATCTTAGATAAATACCTTTACAGAGGTAACTGAATAATTTAAGAATTTATAGTATTTTAAATTATTATAAGAAAATATTTTCAAAATTACCTAAAAAAATCAGTAAAATATTAGATAATTGCTTAAAATATGTTAATTTTTAGACATTACGTCAAAACAGATTAATTTAACTTTAAATTTGCTAATTTTATGAAAGTAACTTTTCAAAAATATATATTTTATTTTAGGTGGATTTTTTAAAACATGAAGTTAGTTTTAAAAATGGCCGTTTCGATTGGTTTTTTAGAAGAATCGATTAAAACTCATAATAATTTCTATTTGAAATACACTACAGTGTTTTGTTTTCTGGAATTAGAAAATGTAATCCTTTTGCTTTCAATTGAAGCTGGGGGAAAGCTTCAAAAATGATTTTTCATTCATGAAAAATATATTTAAACCTTAGGTATACCGAATTTTTTTAGGTATCTACATTACTATCTCCAAAAATTTTTCCTAAAAATATCTCTCGCCCAAACCAAAACTATGTATACTTTCAAAAGGTGCAACGTGCTGGGTTTTCATCCCCAGATAGATAAGGATAAAAAAAAAATTCATCTCTCTTAACAGTAGTAAGATTCGAACGCAGTTCTCATGGTCAGAAAGGGAAGGTTTTAACCGCTGGGTTAAGCGCACATTCCAAATCGGCACCCAATAAACGTGTTCGTTTATTTCTATTTAAATATTTATTCTTATTTCTTTATTTTTTTTCTTTCGTCTAAAGTAAAAGTTTTTTCCATCAAGTAATTTATTAAGTGTCTCTGTTGCATATGTGTTTATATTTCATGGGCCCCACACTGAGGACCAAAAGTTTATAAAAAACGTTTCGAATCAAGGTTCTGGTCACACTTGGGTGTTTGCCAACGGAATTGACAAGTCTCACGATTACAAAACACGTGCAAGTTTATGTGAAGGCAAAATTCCCTTCTTCTTCTTCTTCTTCTTGTTCTTCTTGTTCTTCTTCTTCTTCTTCTTCTTTTCCGACAACCGCCCTTCCCTTGACTCGCCTTTTAACCTTGTACGTCCCGTTTAAACTTCAACACTTGCGGACGCCCTTTACAA